GGAACCAGACTTAAAAACTCCAGGTTCCCAGACAACCCTGTTGGTCTCCATATAGGATTTCTGTTCAGCCAAGGGCTGAGCAATATTTTGAGACACTCTCAGAGGAGTAGCTTTAGGACAAGAAAATACACCCACCATATTCCCTGGAAGCTAAACAGCACCTCCCCCACCTAAAGCCCTTTCAGTAACAGACTTTGGAGTGATTATGATTGACAGCTGACTAGCTGGCAAAGGCAGGCAAAGGCTGAGGTCCAGGGGAAGTTTGCTGATCCAGCCCTGGGCTCTGTACTGCTCACAAATCTACCTTAAAGGACAGATTGGTCTCTCCTGCTTGCAGACAAACAATGGTGGGTTGTTTTGGAGACAGACAAAAATGGTGGGTTGCTTGGAGCCTCAAGCAGGTTGCTGAAAGCCAAAAGACAGTGCCTGACAATGGTTAGCACCTAAAACTCTAACAGGAAGCCCAGAATTGGCAGACAGAGAAGTGGGGTCCAAAGCAAACTCCCATGGGGCATTAAACTCTGCTGAAACAAATGCCACTTCACTCTTTTTCCTTCATCCCTTTTCTCTTTTTCTTTCCTTCCTTTTTTTCCCTTTTCAAATTTATCTTCTTTATATATCTGCTTTAATGTTTTGTCATTATTCTAGTCTCTGTTGTTTCATTCATACATCTAATTTTCCACTTCCTTTCTCAGTTTTTCACTACTTTCTCTCTCTCTCTCTCTCTCTCTCTCCCTCTCTCTCTCTCTCTCTCTCTCTCTCTCTCTGTTTGCTCCTATTTTCTCATAATTTTTCTTTTTATTATTTTAGGTCTATCTATTTTCTCCTCTATTTTCCTTTCAAAATTTTTCCCCTTATTTTTTCATTCTCCCCTCATTTATTGTAAACTGTTTCCTTCCCCTATTCCTCTAATTCTTTATTTTTATTTTCTCTCTTTCAGCTCTGCATATTCTGCCTCCCTTGTGCTGTTTTTTTTTTTTGTTTGTTTGTGCTTTTTTTGTTTCTTTTGTTTTTCCCCATTCCTCCCTCCCCCATTTTCTTTTGAATCTATCATTCTTGCTCTCTTTCCTCTTTCCTAATACTCTATTTTTTGGTGGTTGTTTATGTTGATGTTATAGGGGTCTGGTGTATGTTCTTGTTTTGTTTATTCTCTTTTATTGTTTTGTCTTGTTGTATTTCATTCTTTTCAGTCAGCATCTCCACAACAGCTTGCTCAGAATGGTCATGGGTGAACCACATAGTCTGCCAGCCTGAGAGAAGAGACTCCATTCACGAATGGGACAATAATATTCAAGACCAAATTACAGTAGGAGAATCAAAAATCATTCAAGTAAAGGGTTTTCCTAGAATACACAGTTCAGAATATCTAAGAGACTGCACTACTGGATCCCACAAAACACCTACTACATAAGACCACCCCCAAAAATCTGGGAGGCATAGCAGTTTGATCTAATATACAGAAACAAATACAAAGGGACAGCAAAAATGGGGAGAATAAACAACAACTCCCAAATGAAATAAAAGGAGGAATTGCCAGAAAAGGAACTAAATGAAATACAAGCAAGCATTTGTCAGATAAAGAATTCAGATTAATAGTAATAAGGGGCTCAGACAATTCATTGAGAACTATAAGCAACTTAATGAGAAGTACATGAAAATTAAGGAAATATTAAGGAACTTAATCCAACTTTAAAAGAGATGATGAAAGAATAAATAAGAATCAATTAGAAATTTTTAATGGCATAGCTGATAATAAACACCCTGGGAGGATTCAAGAGTATACTAGAAGAAGCTGAGGACCAAATCAGTGAATTAGAAGACAAAGTAGAAAAAACACCCATTCAGAGCAGCAAATGGAAAAAAAAATTAAAGCAGGACAACATGCAATGAAACAATATCTGCATAATAGGGATACCAGAAAGAGAAGACACTGAACAAGGAATAGAAGACCTATTGAAAGTAACGATGACAGAAAAATTCTCTGATTTAGGGAAGAAAAGAAAATCATACAAGTACAAGAAGCACAAAGAATACCAATCTAGATGAACCCAAAAAGGCCCATACAAAGATACATAATAATTAAAATGTCAAACTTTAAAGACAAAGAAAGAATTTTAAAGGCAATAAGTTTAAGAAAGTTACCTAGGAAGGATCTCCCATTAGCCTACCAGCTGATTTCTCAACAGATACACATCAGGCCAGAAGGGAGGAAATGAAGTATATAAAGCAGTGAAAAGCAAGAAACTGAATCCAAGACTACTCTATCCACCAACGCTATCATTCAAAATTGAAGGTGAAATCAGGAGCTTGACAGATTAAAAAAAAAAAAAAAAAAAGTCTAAAAATGTTTATTACCACCAGACCAGCAATAAAAGAATGAAAGAAATCCTAATGGGACTATTGTAAGAAGAAGAAAGAGAGTGAGGAGAAAAAAAACAAAACAGGTATAAAGAATATAAATTGCAAAAACGAGTACCTCTCAATAATAACCTTAAACATAAATGGATTAAATGCTCCAACCAAAAGACATAGGGTAGCTTAATGAATAAGAAAACAAGACCCAGCCAAAACCGGTTTGGCTGAGTGGTAGAGCATTGGTCTGCAGACTAGAAGGTCCCGGGTTCGATTTCAGTCAGGGGCATATACGTTGGTTGCAGGCACATCCCTGGTAGGGGGTGTGCAAGAGGTGGCTGGTCGATGTTTCTCTCTCATCTACGTTTCTAGCTCTCTATCTCTCTTCCTTCCTCTCTGTAAAAAAAACAATAAAATATATATTAAAAAAGAAAAGAAAAAGAAAACAAGACCCATATATTTGCTCTCTATAAGAGCCACACCTCAGAACAAAGGTCTCACACAGACTAAAACTAAAGGGATTAAAAAAAATTTTCTAATAAAATGGAAATGAAAAAAAAATTTTTTTTAAGAAAATGGAAATGAAAAAACAAAACAAAACTGGAGTAGTAATACTCATATCTGACAATATAGACCTCAAAGTTAAGGCCATAACAAGAGAGAATGAAGGCCACTTCATAATACTAAAGAGATCAATACAGTTGAAACTGGTTTGGCTCAGTGGATAGAGCTTCGGCCTGTGGAATGAAGGGTCCCAGGTTCGATTTTGGTCAAGGGCATGTACCTTGGTTGAGGGCACATCCCTAGTAGGGGGTGTGCAAGAAGCAGCTGATCGATGTTTCTCTCTCATTGGTGTTTCTAACTCTCTATCCCGCTCTCTTCCTCTCTGTAAAAAAATCAATATTATATATATATATATATATATATATATATATATATATATATATATTTTTTTTTTTAAGAGATCAATACAACAAGAGGATATAACTCTGCTAAACATATATGCATCCAATATAGAAGCACCTAAATAAATTTTTAAAAGTCTGGAGGATGTCAAGGGAGAGATTGACAATAATACAATAATAATTGGGAACTTTAACACCCCACTGACATCACTGGATAGATTTTCTAGACAAAAAAATCAACAATGAAATATCAATCCTAAAAGACACAGTAGATCAGATGAAATTAATTGACATTTTCAGAACATTTCACACCAAAGGTACAGAATATACATTCTTCAGAAGTGCACATGGAACATTGTCAAATATAGAAAACAAGTTAATACACAAGCTAAGTCTCTACAAGTTCAAAAAGATTGAAATCATATCAGGCACCTTCTCAGATCACAATGGCATAAAATTAGAAATCAGCTAAATTCAACACATGTAGGCTAAATAGCACGCTATATCTTATATAATAAAAGCCCAATATGCTAAGTGTCCAGTCATCCAGTCATCCATACAACCAATCAAAGCATAATATGCTAATGATATGCTAAGGCTGCTCAACTGCTTGCTATGATGTGCACTGACGACCAGGGAGCAGACAGTTGACCAGTAGGTTAGCTTGCTACTGGGGTCTGGCCAATCAGGACTGAACAAAATGGGCTGAACATACCCTGGAGCCCTCCTGTGGTACTTTCTCAGCCATGATCATGCACTGGTAGGGTCCCTCGGCCCAGCCTATACCCTCTCACAATCCAGGACTCCTTGGGGGATGTCAGGGGGCCAGTTTCAGCCCGATCCTGCTCAGTCCTGATTGGCCAGACCCCAGGGAGCAGGCCTAAGCCGTCAGTCGAACATGCCCTAAGGGCTCCCAGATTGTGAGAGAGCACAGGCCATGCTGAGGGACACTCCCTACCCCCTGAGTGCATGCATTTCGTGCACCAGGCCTCAAGCTAAACAATAAATGGATTTACCAAAAAGACCAAAGAAGAAATAAAAAATATCCTGGAAACAAATGAAAATGAAAATGCAACAATCCAAATCAATGTGATACAGCAAAAGTAGTTCTGAGTGAGAAGTTCATGGCGCTACAGGCCTATTCCAAAAAACAAACAAACAAAAAACCCTTTTAAAAAATATATATATTTTATTGATTTTTTTTACAGAGAGGAAGGGAGAGGGATAGAGAGCTAGAAACATCAATGAGAGAGAAACATTGATCAGCTGCCTCCTGCACACCCCCTAATGCAACCCAGGCACATGCCCTTGACTAGAATCGAATCTGAGACCCTTTAGTCCACAGGCCAATGCTTTATCCAGTGAGCCAAACTAGTTTCGGCCATAAAAACAACAACAGCAGCAACAACAACAAAAACACATCTTTTAATAAGTTACTTAACCATACAACTTAAAGAATTAGAAAGAACAATAAGAAAAGCCCAGCGTAAGTAGAAGAAATAATAAAAATCAGAACAGAAATAAATGGCATAGAGACAAAAAATATAAAAGATCAATAAAACCAAGAGCTTATTCTTTGAAAGGATAAACAAGATTGATAAAACTCTACCCAGACTCATCAAGAAACAAAGAGAGAAGACACAAATAAACAAAATCAGAAACAAAAGAGATGAGTGACAACTGACCCTACAGAAATACAAAAGATTGTAAAAATAATAATAATAACACTAGTAATGTCTTTATTATAACTAACTGGACAACCTGGGTGAAATAGAGATATTTTTAGAAAAATACAATCTTCCAAAGTTCAATCAGGAAGAATCAGAAAACCTGAATAGGCTGATAACTATTGATGAAATTGAAGCAGTGTTAATAATAATAATGATAACAATAATAAGTCGAGCAAACAAAAGCCCTGGTCCAGACATCTTCACAGGAGAGTTTTACCAAACATTCAAAAAGAACTAATTCCAATCCTCCTCAAACTATTCCAAAAAATTAAAGAGGAAGGAACATTTCCAACCTCTATGAGGCCAGCATTACCCTAATTCCAAAACCAAATAAAGGCACTACAAAGAAAGAGAATTACAGCCCAATATTCCTGATGAACATAAATGCTAAAATCCTCAACAAACTATTAGCAAATCAGATCCAGCAATATATTAAAAAGATCATACACCATGACCAACCAAGATTTATTCCAGGGATGCAAGGCTGGTACAATATTCACAAATCAATAAATATGAAAAACATATTGCAAGAAAAAAACATAAACATATTGCAAGAAAAAAAAATCACATGATCATATTAATTGGTGCAAAAAAAATGCATTCAACAAAATCCAACACACTTTTTCGATAAAAACTCTCAGCAAAATTGGTATAGGGTGATCATACCTCATCATAATAAAAGCCACATATGAAAAACTTACAGACAATATCATACTCAATGGGCAAAATCTAAAACCATTTTCCTTAAGAATGGGACAAGACAGGGATGCCCACTCTGACCACTCTTGTTCAACATGGTATTGGAAGTCACATCCATAGCAATCAGACAAGAAGAGATAATAAAGGCATCCAAATTGGGAAGGAGGTAGTAAAACTGTCACTATTCACGGATGACTTAATATTATAAAAAGAAAACCCTAAAGACTCCACCAGGAAATTACTAGATTTAATAAATGAATTCGGCAAGGTTGTAGGATAAAAAATCAACATCCCAAAATTGATGGCATTTTCATAAATCAATAATAACTTTCAGAAAGAAAAACTAGATAAACAATCTCTTTTACAATTGCAAAAATAAATTAAGATACTTAAAAATAAACTTAACCAGGAGATAAAGGACCTTTACTTAGAACACTACAGGACATTGAAAAGAAGAGAAAGAGGAAGATATAAACAAATGGAAGAACATACCATGTTCATGGATTGGTAGAATCAAAATCATTCAAATGTTGATGCTGCCTAAAGCAATCTATAGATTCAATGAAGTCCCTATTAAAATACTAATGGCATATTTCAAAGATCTAGAACAAACTCTCCAAAAACCCATTTGGAATAAAAAACAAACAAAAAAACTCTGAACAGCCACAGCTATCTTGAGAAAGAACAAAGTAGGAAGGATCAAAACACCAGATATCAAGCTATGTTACCAAGCCATGGTTCTCAAAACTGCCTGGTACTGGCACAAAAACAGAGATGTAAACCAATGAAACAGAATAGAGAACCCAGAAATTGACTCAAATCATATACTTAATTAATATTTGACAAAGGAGGCAAGAGCATACAATGGAGTCAAAACAGTCTCTTTATTTTTTAAAAAATATATTTTATTTTTTACAGAGAGGAAGAGAGAAGGATAGCTAGAAACATCGATGAGAGGGAATCACCGATCAGCTTCCTCTTGCACACCCCCCACTGAGGATGTGCCCACAACCAAGGTACATGCCCTTGACCGGAATCAAACCTGGGACCTTTCAGTCTGCAGACTGACACTCAATCCACTGAGCCAAACCAGTTTCGGCAAAACAGTCTCTTTAATAAATGGTGCTGAAAAATTTGGTCAGATACATGTAAAAAAAAAAAAAAGATAATCAACTTACATCATACACAAAAACAAACTCAAAATGGCTAAAGGGCTTGTATGTAAGAAGAGAAACCATAAAAATCCTACAAGATTCCATAGACAGCAAAATTGCAGACAAATGTAGCAATATCTTTACAGACACAGATCCTAGGGCAAGAAAGACTAAGGAGAAAATAAACAAATGGGACTACTTCAAAATAAAAAGGTTCTGCACAGCAAAAGAAACCATCAACAAAACAATAAGAAATCCCACTGCATGGGAGAACATATTTGCCAATGTTATCTTCAATAAGTGTTTAATGTGCAAAATTTACAAGAACTCATTATAAACAAAAGAAAGATTAAAAATACAATCAAATAATGGGCAAAGGATCTAAATAGGTGCCTTTTAAAAGAGGACATACAGAAGGCCAAGAGACATATAAAAACATGCTCAAAGTCACTAATCATCCAAAAGATGCAAATCAAAACAACAATGAGGTACCATCTCACACCTGTCAGAATGGCTATCATCAACAAATGACAAGTGCTGGAGAGGAGGCACAGAAAAAGGAATCCTCTTGCACTGCTGGTAGGAATATGGACTGGTACAGCCACTATGGAAAAACAGTATGGCATTTCCTCAAAAAATTAAAAATGGAACTCTTATTTGACCCAGTAATTCCACTTCTAAGAATATATCCCAAGAAATCAGAAACAGCAATTAAAAAAGATATATGCACTCCGATGTTCATAGCAACACAATTTACAATAGTTAAGATTTGGAAACAGCCTAAGGGTATATCAGCAGATGAATGGATTAAAAAACTTTGGTACAGCTACACAATGGAATACTACATGGCCATAAAAAGGGAGAAATTCTTACCATTTGCAACAGCATGGGTTGGACTAGAGAGCATTATACTAAGTGAAATAAGCCAGTTAGAGAAAGATAAATATCACATGATCTTACTCATATGTAGAATATAATGAATAACATACACTGATGAACAAAAACAGAACCAGAGTCATAGAAGCATCAAATAGACTGTCCAACCTATGAGGGAAGGTGGGGGATAAGAGGATAAAGAGATCCACCAAAGGACTTGTATGCATGCATATGAGCATAACCAATGGACACAGATGGAGCAGGGGGAGTAAGGGCATGTGCTGGGGGTAGGGGGCGGCCAGGGAGAGATCAAGGAGGAGTAAAGGAGACTGATGTACTACATGTATATATAAAAAACCTGAGCGACCATTATGACCGGCTGACTGAACAGCGACCATTATGACCGGCTGACTGAACAACCAGTCAACTGGTCTTTATAATGTGCACTGACCACCAGAGGGCAGACACTCAATGCAGGAGCTGCCCCCTGGTAGTCAGTGCACTCCCACAGCCAACCTCCCACGGTCCCTCCCCACTAGCGGCCAGCCCCAATAAGCCCTGATCACTGGCCAGGCTGAGGGACCCCACCCGTGCATGAATTCATGCACCAGGCCTCTAGTTAAACAATAAAGAAATTAAATAAATAATAGCAGACATGAAAGATCACCAAGTCTTAACACTAAATATAAAAAGAAAAATGTTGAAAAATAAATAATTTGCATTAATTTTATGGATAAAACTTTTATATGTGTTGGTATATTAACAGATATATGGAAGGGGGCTTTCACATGTATCCTTTTACATGGCTTGAATATTTGCAATGAGCATATGGTAATGCATTTTAGAATATTTTAAGATAGTAAATGCAGAAGGAAGTAGAAAAGGGCCAAAAGAGGAGCATGTCACAGAAATATTACAAGGCCACAATGGTGCACCATGCAAACGCAGAGAGCGAAGGCTGGGAAGTGTTGCAGCCCATCAGCAGGAATCTCAGAGACTAGTGAACCAGAAACAGACATGGAGTTTAATACTTGTCCTATAATATGCACTTTCAAAAAATGATTACAAAAGACCTATAGGGATATGTAAAATGAAAGCTCATTTATGCCAAATCTGCTACCACTTATCCTTTAGAAATTCTTTAATATGCAAACTGCTGTGGCAGGGTATGAAAATGTGGGAATTTTTATTGTTTATTTTTCAACTACATTTTACATTCAATATTATTTTGTATTAGTTTTGGGTGCTCAGCATAGTGGCTAGGCTATTATATACTTTACAAAGGTTTCCCCTTATATTACTAAGACCCATCTGACATCCTGCATAGTTATTATAATACTAGAGGCCTGGTGTACAAATTCATGCAAAGGTGGGATCCCTCCTAGCAAACTGGAGCCATTCCACCCAGTCCCGATTCGGGCCAGCCAGCTGGAGGGAGGGACCAAGGTGGTTGGCTGGCCTCGGGAGATAGGCTGTGGGACGCACTGGCCACCAGGGGCAGTTCCTGTGTGGAGCGTTTGTCTCCTGGTGGTCAGTGTGCAACATAGCTACCTGCCAGTCATCTGGTCATCCAGCCATAATGGTGACTTAGGCTTTTATATACATACTTGAGGCCCAGTGCACAAATTCATGCATGGGTGGAGTCCAGCCGGCCCAGCTCCAATTGGGGCAGATTGGGTTGGGCCTATCAAAAGGAGGAGATGGCAGGAGGTTGACTGGCTGGACCACCCTGATCGGGGCCTGATCAGGGCCGGGCCAGCTAGGATAGGGGTTTTGGGCAGTGGGCCAGCCAGTCCCACCCTCAAATGGTATATGGGGGATGATTAAAGGTCAGTGGCTGGGGAAGGAGGTGTGGGAGGTTGACCAGCCAGCCCCATCCCCAATTGGTGTGTGGGGGGGAGTGGTCAGGAGCAGAGCTGGATGTGGGGAGGGGCTATGGCTGATAGGTGTGGTGGGCACTGATCAGGGGTGAGGCCAACCATGGGGAGAATCTGTGGGCAGTGGGCCAGCTGGCCCCACCTCTGAATGGAGTGGGGGAAATGATTAGGGGGACAATGGCCTGGGGGAGACGCCATGGGTGGTTGGCTGGCCAGCCCTGCCCCTGATCAGAGTGGGGGAGCCAATCAGGGGTGGAGCTGACTGAGAGAGGGGCTGCAGGAAGTTGGCTGGCCATCCCCACCCCTATTTGGATAAGGTAGAGTGATCAGGGGTGGAGGAGTCAGCTAGAAGATAGGAGCCACAGAGGGTTGTCCAGCAAACCCACTCCAGATCAGGGTAGGAGAGACCAATCAGGGGAAGGGCTGCCTGGTGGGTGGGTCGGTGGGAGGTTGGCCAGCCAGCCCTACCCTTGGATTAGGTCAGTTCAATGGCCGCAATGGTATTCATAGCAACCAGTCATTCCAGTCATTCTGGCATTCTGGTTGCTGGCTTTTTATATATATAGACTAGAGACCCAATGCACAAAATTTGTGCACAGGGGGAGTGTATCCCTCAGCCCAGCCTGCACCCTATCCAATCTGGGACCCCTCTAGGGATATCCAAATGCCCGTTTAGGCCCAAGCCTAGTGGAATTGTGCTTAAATGGGCAGTTGGACATCCCTCTCACAATCCAGGACCACTGGCTCCCAACAGCTCTCCTGCCTGCCTGCCTAATTGCCCCTAACCACTTCTGCCTGCCAGACTGATCATCCCCAACCACCCCCCTGGCAGCCTGATCGACACCTAATTGCTTCCCTGCCAGCCTGATTTCCCCCAACTGCCCTCCGCTGCATGACTGGTCATCCCCAACTGTCCTCCCCTGCAGGCCTGGTCAACCACAACTGTTCTCCTCTATCAGCCCAGTCACCCCCAACTGCCCTCCCCTGCTGGCCTGATTGCCCACAAATGCCCTCCCCTGCTGGCCATCTGAGGTGGCCATCTTTGAACACATGAGGGTGGCCATCTTGTGTGTTAGAGTGATGGTCAATTTGCATATTACCTCTATTACATAGGATAGATTACTAACTATATTCCCTATGGTGTACTTCACATCCCCATGAGTATTTTGTAACTATCAACTTGTACTTAATCTCCTCACCTTTTTTACCTAGTCCCCTAACCCCCTTTCCTCTGGCAACCATCAATCTGTTTTCTGCATCTATGAGTTTCTATTTTGTTTATTCATTTATTTTGTTCTTTAGATTCCACATATAATTAAAATCATATGGTATTTTTTTTGTCTTATTTATTTCACTTAGCCTACATAATACCCTCTAGGTCTATCCATGTCAAAATGGTAAGATTTCATTCTTTTTTATGGCCAACTGATATTTCATTGTGTGTGTGTGTGTGTGTGTGTGTGTGTGTGTACGTGTGTGTGTGTATCACCACTTTTTTGGTTGTTGTTAATCCTCACCTGAGGATAGTTTTCCATTGATTTTGAGATCAAGCAGAAAGGTGGGGGGGTGGGGGGGGAAGGGAGCGGGGGAGAGAAACACCTATGTGAGAGAGACAGATGGATTGGTTGCCTCTCACACGTGCCCTGATTGGGGCTGAGGATTCAAGCCTGCAACCAAGAACCAGAGACCCTTCAGTCTACTGGCCAATGCTCTACCCACGGAGCCAAACCAACTAGGGCTGTACCACCACTTTTTTTTTAATTTATTTATTATTATTTTTTTTAATCTACTTGTCTGTTGATGGGCACTTAGGCTGCTCCCATAGCTTGGCTATTATAAACACACTGCAATGAACATGGGGAACATAGTATTTGGGGTTTTTCTGAATATAAAACCTGAAGTGTAATCTTCTGGTCATGAGGCAGTTCCATTTTTAATTTTCTGAGGCCCCTCCATACTATTTCATATGGTGGCTACACAAATCTGCATTTCTACCATCAGTGCACAGTAGTTTCTTTCCTCCACATTTTTGCTAACACTTGTTGTTTGTGTATTTATTGATGACAGCCATTTTGACAAGTGTGAGGTGATACCTCATTGTGGTTTTAATTGAATTTCTCTGATGATTAGAGACATTGAGCATCCTTTCATATGTCTATTGGCCATCAGTATGTCCTCTTTGGTAAAGTATTTATTCAGGTCCTATGTCAATTTTTTAATTGGATTATTTGTTTTTCTTTGGTGTTGAGATGTATGAGTTCTTCATAAATTTTGGATATTAACCCCTCATTAAATGTATCATTGGCAAATACATTCTCCCATTCAGTAGGTTATTTTTGTTTGTTTTGCTCCCTTGCTAATCAAAACTTTTTAGTTTGATGTAGTTCCATTTGTTTATTTTCATTTTGTTTTCCTTGTCAGAAAAAAATATCACTAGAAGAAATGTCCAATATTTTACTGCTTATTTTTTCTTCTAGGAGTTTTATGATTTTAGGTCTTACACGTATGCCTTTAATCCATTTTGAGTTTTTCTGAGTATAGTGTAAATTGATATTCTAGTTTCTATTTTTTATTTTTGCGTGTATGTGTTCAATTTTCCCAACACCATTGATTGAATAGGCTGTCTTTGTATGTTCTTAGCTCACTTGTCAAAGTATTAGAGTGTGTTTGGGTTAATAAACAGTTATCATTATTTTAGATTTTTAAAAGATTCTTTTCAACAACACTGTACTATCATGTGCTTCTCCATCTCTTTAATTAAAACTTAGTAAAAGAGCATACTCTCAGAGGTCTTCCAAAAATGACCATTGAATTCCTTTGTTAAGAAGTGATCCCATTTTAATTAGCTCCTTATGCAAATGAAGAAAAATAAAGGAGACAGAAAATAATAACATACAACAGCAAGGTCTGCAGGCTCAGGACCTGATTTTCTTGACACAGGGACAGAATAACCAGGCAACTGGCAATAAAGACAGAAACCTGGATGCTGTCCTGGCCAACAGCACCTTCTGTGTGGCCGGGAATGAAGTATTTCTCAGCTTTTCCACCAATGAAAAAAGGATCACACTAAGTGACACTCCAAAACCCAAGTAATGGGAAAGGAATTTAATTAACTGGAATTCATTGCAAAGTACATGAAATTCCTACATGAAAAATCATACACAGACATATCTTGGAGATACCGTGGGGTTGGTTCCAGACCATCACAGTAAAGTGAGTATCACAATAAAGGAAGTTGTAATTTTTCTGCTGATTGGTCTTGCCTTCAATTTGTAAAAAATGCAACATCTGTGAAGTGCAATAAAGTGCCATGAAATAAGGTATGCCTGTAACTGCCAATTACAACATAGAAGACTTTTTTAACCAATTAAGGGATGGGGGTGGAATGTGTGCATGTGTGTGTTGAATCAGTTAATGAGAGATTAAGAAACTGAGCACCACAAAAGTAATCTTTAACCAAGGTTTTCAAGTATGACGCTGTCACTGCTGAGAATCCACCTCCCAGACAGGAAATACAGACCCTGCCAAGGAAGGATTGCTGAGTGTTTCTTGGGAAGCCTCGTGAGATTTTTGATATGATCATCTTTAAATGTCACTCTGAAGGAGAGTCATGTCCCTGCTAAGTAGAGAACTCACCTCATCCCTTCACTCTTCGTGGCCTGAGAATTCTAAATTTGTGGATACATGACGGAAGAATAACTAGCAAGACCCCTGGCTCACGTAAAAGATGAGACCAACACCAGTGTTTTATGAAACTGACCGTATTTGTATAATGAACAAATAAGGCACTACTCATCTGGGTGAGGGTAGAGGACAAAAGTGTGGTGATGTTAGTTGTCATCAGAAGCTGACACTCAGTTGTCTACATCACCCATTTTCCACTGAAAGACATGTGTTCAGATAATATCACCATTCCCCTAGAACAGTGGTCGGCAAACTGCAGCTCCCAAGCCACATGTGGCTCTTTGGCCCCTTGAGTGTGGCTCTTCCACAAAATACCACGGCCTGGGCAAGTCTATTTTGAAGAAGTGGTGTTAGAAGAAGTTCAAGTTTAAAAAATTTGGCTCTCAAAAGAAATTTCAATTGTTGTACTGTTGATATTTGACTCTGTTGATTAATGAGTTTGTTGACCACTGCCCTAGACCATAGGAACAAAGATTGCCCCAATATCACATTCAAGGCTGGTACCACATTTGTGAATTTACATTAAAAAGCCCATCATTCCCAAATAGCTGCAGCAATCCTGAGAAAGAACAAAGTAGGTGGGATCTCAATACCAGATATCAAGGTCCACTACAAAGCCACTATTCTCAAAACTGCCTGGTATGACACAAGAATAGACATATAGACCAAAGGAATAGAATATAGAACCCAGACATCGACCCAAACCACTATACTCAATTAATATTTGAAAAATGAGGCAAGAGCATACAGTGGAGTCAAGACAGTCTCTTCAGTAAATGGTGTTGGGCTGAAACCGGTTTGGCTCAGTGGATAGAGTTTCAGCCTGTGGTCTGGTTCAATTCTGGTCAAGAGCATGTACCTTGGTTACGGGCACATCCCCGGTGGGAGGTGTGCAGGAGGCAGCTGATCGATGTTTCTCTCTCATCAATGTTTCTAGCTCTCTCTCTCCCTTCCTCTCTGTAAAAAATCAATAAAATATATTTTAATAAATAATAAATGGTGTTGGGAAAATTAGACAGATACATGCAAAAAAATGAAACTAGACCACCAACTTACACAAACACAAAAATAAATTCAAAATGGATAAAGGACATAAATGTAAAAGGGGAAACCATAAAAATCTTAGAAAAAACTATTCGCAGCAGACATTTGTCATAGCAATATCTTTATCAATACAGCTCCTAAATAGCAGACATTTGTCATAGCAATATCTTTATCAATACAGCTCCTAGGGCAATGGAAATTAAGGAGAAAATAAACAAATGGGACTACATAAAAAGCTTCTGCACAGCAAAAGAAACTATCAACAAAACAATAATAGAGCCCACTGCATAGGAGAACATATCTGTCAATGTTATATCTGATAAGGGTTTAATATCCAACATTTATAGGGAACTCATACAATTTAACAAAAGGAAGATAAACAATCCAATCAAAAAACAGGCAAAGGACCTAACTAGACACTTCTCCAAAATGGACATACTAATAGTCAAGAGGCATATGAAAAAAATACTCTATAATTGGAACTATAATTTCCAAACACACACAAAAAAATCTTCCAATTCTCCTCCAATTTCACAAAGGGGTTCTCCACATACATGATTTAGAAGTGAGTGAACTTCTGTATTTTTAGAGATTAACAGAACTAGTACGATGCATAGACTTTAATGAACCATCTCTCCCAGGAACAAGAACTGATCTAAAGCAAAACATTACAACTGTAAGGTTTTGGAGCATTTCTGGCCAGGAAAGAAAATAATATCTTTATAAAGCTAGCAAATGCAGTATACAAAACAGTACTCCTACAAGGAGACAGGGAGCAGGAAAAGAAGGAGAGAAGAGGAAGAGAAGTTGCAGAAAGTCAGCAATGCAGAAGGAAGAATTGTGGTTTGCAGGACGTGAGTGTGAAGAATGGCACAGCCTGGCCCCTCCAGAGCCTTGTGCTCTCCCAGTAACACCTTTTGGGCAAAGGGTTGAGAGGTGAGGCGGTGCTCACTAGCAAGATCGCTCCCAGACAAATAATTTAATATGGTCTCTGATAGGACAGACAGCTGGTAAGACAGACGTGCTGAACCTTAATGATAGGAGAAGGCAGAATGCGAGTATATCTCAGTAAGGTAGCTGAAATGGGGGTTATTGCTTCATTTAGAATCAGGGTACAAAGTCATCAGCTATGGAGGAAAAAGAAGTTAGAATGTGTGAGTGAAAAAGCCAAGTATTCACTAGTTTAAAAAGTAAATTGTGTTCTACAAAATACACTGACAAACAAAATAGAAACAGGCATAGATAGAAAAGACTGACAGCTGTTAGCGGGGAGAGGGAAGAGGAGACTGGATGGAAGAAGGTGACGGGATTAGCCAAAAGACATATATGTATAACCCATAGTAGGCACAGACAACAGTGTGGAGATGACCAGACAGGAGGGAGGAGCAGGGGCGGGGTGGAGGTGGGCAAAGAAGGAGAAAATGAGGACATCTGTAATAGTGAAAACAATAAAAGTGAAATTTTAAAAATTGTCAAGTCATAAAGTCTTATGTAAAAATATGGCTTTCCAGAATTCTGAATAAATATTCATCTGAAAAAAATTGTGTTTTAAAAAATCCAGATTAAAAGAATATGTACATATATAAAACTTGCAAGATGTAATGAACATATGTCAAAGCCAAATAATTAAATACAAACTCCCTTTACTTACATGCCAAGATCTGAGCTCATAGCTCTGGATAAATAATAACTATAGTTCATTGACCCATTTGGGTATTAATGAGCTCATCAAATTTTTTTTCAAGAATCACAGACATTGCTGTACGTGGAAAATTAAGTAGAAAGTCAGGTCAACATTAACATTTCTCTGCTAGTTTAAGTCTACATTTAGATAAAATTTTATAAAATAAAATATCTAGTGTATTTATTTTGAGATTACCTAGAGACATTCAATTTTGCATTTCAAAGACTTTTAATATCCTTTTTTATCTCCATATAAAATATTTATCTGCATCAAAACCTTGAAATCATTTGTAGATATACTTTTTCTTTTATTGGCTGTGCTAAGAATATTTACCTGTGGGAACTATAATAATTCCAAGCAATTTACTGTCTGGCCAAAAGTATCACATTTGCACATAATTTATTGATGAAGAACTTGTGCAAGCTTAAATAGCACTTCATCAATAAATGTTTTTCTTAGCTGTTCTGGGACAGAAATAATGCATCCCCTTTTGGCCTAGTATTATATGTATTTATCCTAAATGGTTGAAAAACTTAAAATAGTTATCCAATAACTAGATGATTTTGAGAACCTCCTTACCATGTTCACTGAGAGGATATTATTGAAGCAGACATTCACCACCTCACCCAGAGTCTGCCCCTGTAAGTCCTCAGGGAGAAAGTTCCTTCTGCTCTTAGCACCAGGATGGGTTGCACACATGGGCAACTGGGTTATTTCTATTTTATTATGATTAAGAGTCTTTCCCTCAACATATTAACTCACTGCATTTCTCTCCTTTTGATGGTTGCTAGAAGACTTAAAGCAAAAGTTGAGATCACCTGCGTATGTCAAGACTCCATACTATACACTGTCTATAGCAATAATATGTAATAGAAATTATTATTATTGCCAATACCTTGCATTTATTATATTTCATTTAATATTCATAATAATCCTAAAATATGGGAACTTTTATTTTGCCATCTTGACCAATGAGGAAAATGAAGTCTAGAGAGACCCACCAGCTTTCCCAAGGCTATGAACTAGTAGTGGTAGATCCTGACTCAATTGAAGTCTTGCTGGTATTGAAGATCATGCTGCTAACTACTAACCCGTTATTCTGCTCCTGGCCCTGCTGATGCTTGCTCCCCTTTGACTATTTTCTTTCACCACAAATGCAGTTAATAGACCAGAATTATTTGGATAAACACCAGGGCTCTTCCAAAGGCCATATCTGCCCACCAAAGCTACTCAAGTTTTGGATGACCAAAGTTCTACACTACCAAGCTTTTCTCCAGATGGGTGATATGCTCTTTATGAGAAGAGGAGAAATCATGGGCAGATCTACAGTTCAGTAAAAGATCAAGGCACTGCCACGAAGGTCTCCTGGGTCTGGACATTGCTGTCGTGCATGCCCAGATGAGCCACCATGTCCACTGTATGCATGGCTTGTGCACAAAGACACCTGTTAAGGGGTTACAGGATGGACCATGGGCCTGAACTCCAGCCTGTGCTCCATGCTAGTGTTTCCCAATTCCCAACAGATATGAATTTTCAAAACTTGGAATAAGAAATCAGAATTCCCAGAAATTCTCAGGAATTCCAGAAATCATGTTACCCCATACTTTTTTCTAAACTTTATTTACATTGTAAAAATAATAATCCTGACCATACTAGAGAATAATGTTAAACAGTGCATCACTTTTTTTGTGATAGCAATACTAAAAATTTCAGAGGTGTTCTGTACAAAAGTATTTGTAAAATATTTAAAAATTATCTCTACCTGACATTTGAGATCAGAAAACACTAAAATAGAGGAACATTAACACAATATAAAGGCCAAATAAAAGTCATTTTAAAAATTGGAAAATGATATTAAAATCTTTACATTTATAAGATATAATTCTTAAAATTAAATTTTAAAGCAAAACAAAGCATTGATTTTCCTATCCAACAGTGCTGGTTTTTGTTTCTTGGCTAATATTTTAGATGTAAAAAAAAATAATAATGTTTCTTTCATTTTGTTTTGACATTGGTCAAATTGTTAAGAGGCTTCTAAAGGCATAGCCATTAGTGTTTGCTTCACATAAGCTCATTTCCTCTTTTAATGATGAAAATATTTTATTTGTTTGTCCTGATTCTGGATTGGCCACTTAAGTCTTTGTTGTTTTTATTAATTCAGATTTTAGATCAGTTTCTGGTTTTACAACATACTCACATCATCTTCCTTCTGCATTTCTTCTGTTAAATTACTTAGAAAGGACAAATTGTAATAATATTCAAACACCAAAAAAAAATGCCAGCAAAATTATTGGGTAGTACATCCAAAAATCATAACATTCAGATCTACTTAGCTAGCTTGACAAGGCTACAATGGAAATCTCAATTAAAATTTAATGACTTATTTTGCTTCCAAATTTGTTATTTCTTGGAACACCACTAAATAGGATTTGTATAAAGTACACTATGCATATAAACATATTAATAGTTATGCAAGAATGACTCACTGTTAGCAGCAGACACACATTTAGAGCATGGCAAATGCTACAAGCAAGGCTTGACATCAGATTGTGATCACTTCTCTCCTACTTGCTCCTGTCCTGAAGCTTGGAAATGCCTACTTTCAACTTTTACTGTGCTGTTAGCATTTTGTGTTTTTTCAACTTTATTGAGGAATAATTGACAAATATAATTATCTCTATTTAAAGTGTACAAAGTGCTGATTAATATACTGATATATTATGGAATGATTACCAAGCTTAGATAATTAACTGCTCTTGCTTTCAATGATGTTAGTAAGTTTCTTTGAATCAGCAATGTCTAAATTTTAATTCTTTAAGCAGAATTAGAATTCTTTCCCCATTTTACAAATTTCTTGACTACCTTTCCATGGGATTTAGGAAAACTTCCCACCCCACCCCCACCTAGAAATTGCAGCTGAGGCTGTGTCTAACAGAAGAAGGGGCATATGTTTTTTGCAAGAAAATTTTTTTCAACTGATTTATGCCTACAAGACTGTATCCATGCAGAGGGCCTTGGAGAATTCACACACAAAACATGCACAAATAGGCTATTTTACCTGTCAGTTCTGTAAGACCTCAAAGGCATAGGAAAAGAACCCATTAGTACTTTAGGAATTACCTAAAAATCTTTAAGTATGCAAAGGCACTGGCAAATGTCCATGTTGATTTTACTAAAGACATGGAGAAGCAGAAAGAAAACATGAGATAAGCCATAATGTTGTTTTCGCAGGTAATTCTGGACTTTTGCTTTAAACACAGCCTACCATGTTTCCCCGAAAATAAGACATCCTCTGAAAATAAGACCTACTTACATGTTTCCTTCTGAGTGAAATATAAGGCATCCCCTGAAAATAAGCCCCCCTCCCCCAGGCTAAACATGAGAGATTTGGTCCACTGATTCTGAAAGAAATGGAGTCACAAGAAATTCACCAGAAAATTCAGGAATTAGATTGTTATGATAATGTTCCAGAAGATGATGACATGATTGTCATTGAATAAATGAGTAAATTCTTGATACTGTAGGATTCACAGTTTGTCTGGTTTGTGTTGACAACTACCGTACTACCGTACCGTATACAGGTAATAAATTTCCTTTATTTTCATTTAATAATAAATGTGTACCGTATTCTTCTTCATGAAAAAATAAGACATCCCCTGAAAATAAGACCTAGCACATCTTTGGGAGCAAAAATTAATATAAGACACTGTCTTATTTTTGGGGAAACAGGGTAGACATGATCAATATCAGCTATCCCGGTGGTGGGCAAACTCATTAGTCAACAGAGCCACAGTTTGCCGACCACTGAGCTATCCAACATCAGAAAATAATATTAATCTGGATTTTTGCAAATCGTTTTTTTATTCCTCCCCCCAACATCCAAGTACATAAATATAACATTATATGGCCAGTTATTATGTGAACTGTTTTCACATGTATATTTTATTACTGAACATAATAATGAAAATGCATTGATGAATATTTTAAGTACCTACTATGTATCAGACACTATGCCACATGTTTCAAATGTTTTCTCAACCCTTAAACTAATGCTATAGGATACTTATTTTATACCATTCGGATGAGAAAAATAAAGCTCAAAACCAAAGTTTTAAACAGCCACACTGCTAGTAAGTGGTACAGAAAATTTAGTCCAACTTCAAAAATTCATGCTCTTTCCATCACATCTCACTGGTGGTAAGTCACAGTGTCTGGTGCTGCCCCAGCAAGGCAAGATAGTTGGCTCTAGGCAGCCTGCCTACTCCAGGAGGACTAGCCTTGTCATCCTATATGGAAAAAGACCTTCCTCCCTGCACACTCTTAAATAAAAATAGGGTTCCTACAACCTTTATTTGAAAGAAACATAGAATAAGCTTGGAAGCAGAATATACATTTTGGGGCAAATAAACATTGCAAACATAGTACAAAGGGTTTGTCTTACCTTCAAATATTTCACCAGCTTCTGAATTTGCCAATATTCTGATGGCAAATCTGCATTTGCTTCCTGACGATGATCAGGTGGTTCTTCATCTTCTTCACTCTCTGAGGAGCTCTCACTAACAATTTCCTCAACCTTTTCACCACTCTTACTAAGAATAATAACAAGAACATATAACAAATATATTTATGTTACAGCTTGTACATGCTTATAACATTACAATTTCAGCAGCATGTACCTAACTGATAAAAATCCTCAAAAAAAACAAGAACAGAGGGGCACTTCCTCAACTTGATAAAGAATATGTACCAAACCGACACTATACAGTGAAAGTTACTATAGTGAAAGACGTTCTCCCCTAAGATCAAGAACAAACAAGGATGTCCACTTTGACCACTGCTATTGAGCATTGTACTAGAGTCTTAAGTTCCAGATGTAAATCTAACAAAATTTTGTACAGGACTTGTATGCTGAAAACTACAAAATTCTGGTAAAATAAATAAAAAGTCCAAATGATGACACACATATTATTCATAGATTAAATTAGCCTACATAGTAAAAATGTCAAAATTCTTGGCACATTAAAAAAATAGATATAGCAAGATTATTCTGAATTTATGTGAAAATGAAGGGAACTAGAATAGCTAAAACATTTTTTTTACAAGAAGGTGAGAATAATCACTTTATCAGATATCAAGTTTTACTCAGTAGCTACAGTAATCAAGACAGTGTGATGTTCATGAAAGGTTACAAATAAAAATCAACTGAATATAATAGAGACCCAGAAATAGACTCACATAAGCACACCCAACTGGTTTTTATATCAATGCAAAAGCAATTCAATGGTGAAAAGACAGTCTTTTCATCAAATGGCACTGGAGCTTCTGGGCATCAATAGGCAAAAAAGTGAAGCTTGGCCTAAGCCTCACACCTTATATATAAAATTAACTCAAAATGAATCTCAACTTTTAATGTAAAAATGGCACAATTTTAAGAGAAAAACATAGGAGAAAATCTTTAGGACTAGAGGCATCACAAAGAGTTCTTAGACATGGCATCAAAAGTACAATTTATAAAACAAAAATTGATACACTGCACTTTATTAAAATTAAAAACTTGTTTTATGAGAGACCCTATATTAAGAGAATGGAAAAACAAATTACAGAGGGAAGAAAATATCTGCAAACTACATATCTAACCTAGGATACTCAAAATAGATAAAGAACTCCAAAAACACAGCATTTAAAAACAAAACATGATCTCATTGGAAAATAAGCAAGTCATACAAGACAGTTCACTGAAGAACATACATGAGCAATAAGCTCATGAAAAGTTGTTCAATATCACTAGCCATTTAAGGAAATGCTAAGACCATAATGAGACAACACTATACATCTTTTTTTTTTTTTTTTTTTTTTACAGCAAAAAAAAAAAAAAAAAAATGGCATTATCAAATGCTGGCAAGGATAAGAAGAAACCAAGAAACTGAGTCTCAGATCTTGCTAGTAGATAGTAAAATGGTACAGCCGCTCTGGAAGAATCTGGCAATTTCTTACAAAGCTAAACACACAATTACTAATGTGTCAGCAATTGGGCATTTATCCTAGAAAAATGAAAGTTTACATCCATATAGATATTTTTCTATGATTATTTACAATCACTTTAATTGTAATAGCCAAAAACTGAGGAATGAAAATTTCCCTCAGGTGAGAAATTACAGTACATCAATACCATGGAATACTACTTAGCAGGAGAGAAAGAGGAGAGAGAGAGAGAGAGAGAGAGAGAGAGAGAGAGAGAGAGAGAGAGAGAGAGAGAGAAATTACTAATACATGAACAATTTAGATGAATGTCAAGAGTATTTTGGTGATGAAAAACACAGCCAGTACAAAAAATGTATGATTATGTTTATATGACATTCTCAAAATGACAAAATTATAGAAATGAAAAACAGGTTAACGTTGCCAGGGACTGGGACTGATGGGGGTAAAGGGAGTGGGTGTGACTGTAAGGAGTAGTAGGAGGGAGTTCTGTGTAGTGATGGAATAGTCCGCTTTCCAGATTGCCATAGTCACCACACCATCTACATGTGACAAAATGGCATGAAATATGCATATACATTGAACCAATACTATTCTCCTGGTTTTGATATTAGGCTGTAGTTACCCTAGAGGTAACCTTTGGGGAAAGCTGGGCGAAGGGGAGATGAGACCTCTCTGTAGTATCTCTGCACCTTTTTGTGAATCTATAATTATTTAAAAATAAAAAGTTGAAGAATTGTCAAACAAATTGAAGAGTTAATTATGTTGACAACTCCCCCCCCCGCCCAAAATAGTATAAATGTAGTAGAGTATCTTAAAGTTTTTTCCCCAAGTATGAAAACTTTACAATGTGAGATTTCTGCCATTTCTTCCAGTAACTGTGCACTAAAAGAAATACAATATGATCATTGTGCAACATTGCTAGTAACTGTCAATATAGATATCTTGGCACCCTAAGAGTAAGAATGCCATTAGTTAGGATTAGTTAAGTTAGCATGTCATGTAAGAAATGGTATTAAAGAACTGGTTGTGTTAACAGAAACATACCGAATTAATTGTGCTTTTCCAGCTGAAACAGATGGTGCTGACTTTTCAACTCTTCCACCATGTCTTTCCTCATGAATTGAGACTCTGTGTCTAAAAACATTCTCTATTAGTTACTTTTTGATGATTGATAGAACATTAAAAATAGAAATGTATACAAGTATTCCAACATTTTCATGCACCTAGATTATGTGTTTTCCAAACACAGAGAATGACGATCTGACATATGTTTGTCCTTTGAGCACAGCCATGCATTTTTTATAATGAAGAAGCAATTTGTTCAGTATTCCTTTATACTAGAAACAGGTCTTCACAGGCTGCCATCATTGTGAAAAGCCTTTACTCTGTATCTTTTAATCTAGTGGATTACTGCCCTGATCATAGTTGCCTTTTTTTTTTTTAACCTTCTCCACCCAAATGTTACAGGAAGGCCTGTGTCTGATTTTCCATGTGTCCCCAGCTTTAGCATAGTCCTTGGCACCTACTTGGTTTTCATTAAATTCTTAAAAATAAATTCTTAATTTAAAAAAATAAGCACATGCAAAAAGCTGAATTTAAAAATTCACCTTCCACTTAACAAGTAGCCCATGTGATTTCTCTGTGTATTTTATCATCTTTTTCAAGTTATTTGCCCGACTTACCAACGACATGAAAGGAATTGTGTTCTTTCATTCCCTTGCAGAACCCACATATAAACCCTTTGCCTGTCAAATCTCCCTGCTTGAAATAGGAAGAGGAGCAGGAAGAAATACTACTCTGTATTTTCTACTATGAAATAAAGTTCTATAAAAATTAGGCAAATATGGTCACTAAAGAGGTTTTTTAAAATCACATCATGCAAATGTCTACATACTCTTTGGAATCAATAGTGGTCTTCCAGTTTAAACTTGGCTCTAATCTCTTGATCATATTACTCTTCCCAAAATTAATTTGGTTCTTCTCCAACATAGTCTTGTCTGAGCCAGGAATAGCTTTCCGTAAGGCACCTGGTGCTTCCTTCTTAGGTGTCTCATTAGGCTTATTCTTTTCCTTTTGCAATTCTTCATTAAATCTAGTTTTCTTTATTAAAGAAAAAATTAAGTGTAGTATTTACAATGATGTCCCCTCTGAATTATCTAGTGCTATCTGAAAATTAACATTGGTGATACATTCAGAAAAGGAAGTCTCAGACATATCTTACTTCTGTTACTCACTGACAAATTGACTAAGGATAACTTCAGCACCACAGCCTTACTGAAGTGAGACTGATAGTAATGTGAAGTTCCTAAACTTCACCTCTGCTGTAGCACACACAGATACAACTGCAGGATGGAACCTTCTCACAGCTCATTACCACTAGAAAAACTTAAATTCAAACCCTATATTGACTGGAGTCATCATATTCAAATTGCTGAAACCAAGGATAAAAAGAACATCTTTACCTAGTCAGGCATATAAGACACATTATAGACAGAGGAGGAAACATAATGGTTAAAAGAGGCTTCTCACCAGAAACAATGCAAACCAGAAGAAAATAAAATTTTATATCTTTAAAGTACTAATCTATACTAATAAAAGGGAAATATGCAAATTGGTCAGGACACCCTCACAGTAATAACTGAACAGCAGGCTGCGTGGGGCAACAAGACTGGCAGGGGGATTAGTGAAGGATGACCAAATGACTGAACAGCAGGATGCATGGGGCGACCAGCCTGGCAGGGGGGTTAGTGAAGGGCGACCAGGCCAGTGGGGGCAAACAGGCCAGCAGAGAGGAGCAGTCAAGGGCAATCAGACCAGCAGGTGGGGCAGTTGGGAGCAACCAGGCCATAGGGGAGACCAGGCCAGCAGGGGGGGAGGGGCAATTGGGGGTGACCAGCCTGGTGGCAGGGGCCAGTTAGGGGCAACCAGGCCAACGAGCGGGAGCATTTGGGGGCAACCAGGCAGGCGGAGGGGGCAGTTGGGGTGATCAAGCCATCAGGCAGAGGCAGTTAGGGGTGATCAGGCTAGTGGGGGAAGGCAGTTAAGGGTGATCAAGCAAGCAGGTGAGTGAGCAGTTAGGAGCCAGCAGTGCCAGATTGTGAGAGGGATATTCAACTGCCAGTTTAGCCCCGATCCCTGGGATTGGGCCTAAACCAGCAGTCAGACCTCCTTCAAGAGGTCCCAGATTGGAGAGGGTACGGCTGGGCTGAGGGGACCCCCCCATGCATGAATTTCATGCACAGGGCCTCTAGTAGAAAAAGAAAAACATGTCAACTCAAAATTCTATGCTGAGACCCAAAATATCTTTCAAATTTGAAGGTGAAAATAAAGTCTTTCACAGATTAACAAAAACCAAGAGAATTCACTATTAGAAGACCAGTACTAGAAGAAATGTTAGTGAAATGCTTCAATCATGAGGAATATTATACCATACAGAAACATTGGATGTATATAGAGAAATAATCTATAGAAATGGAAAAAATAAATATAAAACTCTATTATCTTTAATCACTCTAAAATATAATTTATTGAAGCATAAGTAATAATAGTGTTTTGAGGGGTCAGTATATAAAAATAAAATATATGACAACAATAGCACAAAGGACAGGGTGAAGCATTCAAGTACACTGCCATGAGGTTCTTAAACTATTTGTGAAATTGTATAGTATTATTTAAAGTGGGATATAATAGGATGGAGATATATATATATATATATATATATATATATATATATATCCCTAGGGTAGCAACTAAGAAACTTTCTAAAAAAGTGTAACTGACTAATTAATAGCATAAATAAAAATGAATCATTTCTAGGAGCTCAATTCAAAAGGACCTAAAAAGAAGGGGGGAAAAAAGAACAAATGGGACAAATATAAACAACTAGCAAAATAGTAAATTTAAATTCAACTTTATCAATAGTTATGTTAAATGAAAATGGATTAAAAAGGAAAACACAACTATTTGTTTCAAGTTTCCATAATTGCTCATTGAAGCACTTATATAATAACTGCTTTAAAATCTTATCAGATTAATTTAATGTCTAGTCCATCTTGGTATGATCATCTATTCATTATCCTTTCTTGTTCAAGTTGTGATCTTCTTGGTTCTTTATACAATGAATGATTTTTTCCATTGTATCTTGGACATTTTGTCATTATGTTATGAAACTTTGCATTTTATTTAAATCTTTTGTTTTAGCAGGTCTTCCTGATGCCTCACTGGTGGAGGTCTGGGGTTATGGTAAGGTGGGAGTGAAAGTACAAGATCCCCACTCAGTCTCAATTGACAACTGTGGTGATATAAATGCTTCAGTATTG